TATTTATTATATACATGATATATCTTGCATCTACATATCTCTGATTATTAATAAAGATGGTACTTTTTCTTTTATTCCTTGAGATAACTATAAGAGAATTCAAGATGAAGACTCTTATAATCTTTGTGGGAGTCAAAAGGTAGGTGAAAATTCTAGATTCCTTGATGCAAAGTGATTTTATTTTCTGTCCTGCACCAAACACAGACCAGCAGTAGAACATCTCACTAAGTGATGTTTCAAAAACAAACATATAGATGGACAGACAAACAAACAGCGATCATTTAAAAAAAAGAATTCTTTACATTCACTTTTCCAGAACCATGTGCAGTCATTAGTGCAAACTATTCTGTGCGTGGGTGTCTTCCAATTTTGAAAAGCCGAAAAATGTACCTGAGTTGACTTAGTGTCAGGGAAAATGGAATTAGGTCTTAATTTCTAGGCTTTCTGTTCTGCCATGCCCAGCTGTGATATTTTCCCCCATGTGAATGCAATTAACTATTAGTGCTATTTATATTATATACCCTACCCAGTTATTTAAAGCGACCAATGATTTCGGAGGCTAAGTAAAATTCTGGTCCAGTTTGTTTGACTACTGTGGCTGAGAACATGGTGACTTTTACTTGTATGTAGAGGATGATGATGTTTGATTAGTGTTTAAGAGCCATTTACCACACACTATTTAATACCCATGTATTCTGCTTCTCTTACGATGTTATTCAAATTTGCTAATAGTATTTTTCCTGCACATGGTTTGTCCCAAGTACCCCTTGTTTTTCAATATATATAGCAAAGCAAATTCAAGGATACTGAGGTATCTGAGGTTAGCTACATATCTGGATCATAATGAGCACCCTGGGAAAAAAGAGAAACAAAAAAAAAAACCCTTGGCTTTTGAAATTTTCATTTCTCATGGCTCAGTTCTCATTTGTTGTGTAAGGAGCTCATTGTGTCTTCAGCTTGTTGGGCTAGCACTCCTACCTGCTGCTCAACTAATCCACACTTTAAGTAAGCAATTTGTGTTCTCATATTGGTAAATGTCAAAGGAAGAGACACTCGGTGCACCTACAGCATCCCAACATCCCTTGCCAAAGCTGTGAATGTGACGCTGCAGTCTTCTTCCCCAGAAGGAAAGCATAATTTCATTATCCATGAATCATCGCCTGTTAGACTGTACCATCCTTGTCAGAGAGCCTAATAGCACTACTGTTTAGCTGGCTGCAAAGGAGAAAGGAGGGAGAAAGCCCCCCCCAGAGGGGAGGGGCGAAGCACAGGTCACTGACATGATCAACAAACTGGAGAGCAGTTCTCGTGCCTCCCTCTCTCTGGAATGCCTGACATATCTACTGACCAGCAGGAATTGAGCTGGATCCTCTCAATATCAATATGAGCGTCTGTTTCCTCAGCCTAAGTAACACTATGTTTCCCAACCCTGAGCATGAAAAATAATAACACTTCAAAAGAAAATATTACAGACTATTTTGGCTAATATTGATGGATACAGATGGTTAAAACATTTTCTATTTTTATTGTATTACTGCTCGCTTTGTGTCTTGGGGCATTTATTTCTAGCTCTCAGTACCAGTTTATGGTTTTTCATTCTGTTATCACTGAGAGCCTAAGTAAGCATACGTAACTTTGGTAATATGGATGATGATCATGCTTCACAGGGAAGCTAACATTAAGTATGATGCACAGAGCAGAGAAACCTATGCTGCCAATAAGTTCACAATAGAAAGGGTCGGGGGGGGGGGGAGGAGAAGGTAAAAAAAAAAAAAGTAAAAAATAAAAATGTTTGAACAGCTGTGGTTGCTTGTATCAGCCACTAGAGGTCAGTGCTACTCTATAGAAATCAGCATTGTCCGCTTCTATTTAGGTAGTTGACTCACCAAATCAAGTTTAAAAAAAAAAATGGTTGAAAATCTTGGGGCAGATGTCATGTCAACATCCTTGGAAGGTACAGAGTCATTTAAAATGAACATATCTTACATAACATTGCTTAAAAGTCCCTGGCTCAGGGCCTTGCCTCTGTGCTGTTTCAGCACCTTGTGTGGTGAGGTTAATACACAAATGAAAACAAACACAAATCACAAACATCCAGTTCGAAAGACTAAACTTCCTTTGCTCTCTGTTTTGAGAGAGCATTCAACGTACTGAGACTCACTTCTGTATCCCTGGGTCTCCATGGAGCAGCTCAACAGGTCAGTCAGCTCACGTCCATTTTGTTCCCTTAGAGGGAAATTGGACAGTTCATGTAGATAGAAGAAATGAATAGCAAGGACTCTTCTCCAGTATGAAGTTGAAGAACATTTTGAAGACTTACAGCAATGGATCTATGGTACGCAGTGTGCAGGGGCAAGGGGCAGACACAAGGACAGCAACTTTTGACCAGCTCGCCAGCTGGCTTTCTCAGGTGACACCCGGGGAAGGAAGGAACAACTCTCTAACCATTGGAGCCACAGATTGGTTCTCAGGGCATTGTGACAGCTGAACAAGAGCCCTTTGCAGTGGAGGGATGTGTGTTTAAAAATCTCTTTCCTTGTAATTTCATGCCCTGAATCAAAATGTGTTGTTTCTAAAGCATTTCATTTGGTTTCTTATCTCTAAGTAAAGAGAGGCATCAAAAAATGAACAGCCTCCAAAACATTGCTCACTCATTTAACCTTACATCAGTTTTACACACCAAGTGGTTTTGAATCTTAGAAATACTTTTCGATACAGAAAACATGTTTTGTATATGTTAGTGGCATCACAGCATTAATAATTTGAAAAAATATTTGAAATATATGTAGCTGTCAGTTTGCCTTGACTAGATGTATTTGTTTCCCATGATAAATAAGGCAGAGGGTCGAGTAAAAGAATAGAAATGGGCTTCTTTTTTTCACTCCAACAGTGCATTTAATTAATTCAGTAATCTTCACAGTACAGATAAAAATGAGACTGACCAAAGGAAAAAATTAAATGGAATATGTATTTACTGACAGTATAGAAAAATGTGAAATTACAATTCCAGTGAAAACCATCTCTGTAAGTTTGGTCACCCAGCTCATGATACTGTAAATGTATCTGCATTATTAATCTATGGGGACTCTATGGCCATTGGTCATTAATAAATGTATACTCAATGGTTAGTCATGGGTAAACATGGACATGTGATGCATTTCTGAGCTGGCACCTGGTCTCATCAAAGCACCTTGAGAAATCCACTTGAAATGCTGCTTTTCCTTATTGCTAATAGAAGTGTGATTTTCATAATCTGGATTCCTTGCTGTTATATTTCATGTTGGCTTGTCTAGACTTTCCCTCTCTGCCTATGGAAGATCATCATACTCTATAAAAATGCTAGTAAGAGATAGTCATTCACTTTGTCTTTGCTATTATTCTTGTTGTTATTAATTACTATTTTTACTTTGCAGCAACTGTTTTGAAGAATAGGGATGTGGTCAAAGATGTTAAGGCCTGGCCAGTAGTAAGGTGAGCCATCCCTAACATGAATATCTTTATGATCTGCTCCTAGACTAAAACTGCTCATCTGAGATAGAGGACAAAAGGGGGCTACAGAATAAACATATTTTTCCAAAGCCTCATAAATACAGAGGGTGTGGTATCCGTGCTGCAGTCAATAGACTTTCACCAAAGACATAGAAACATGCATGCAGCTTTCAGGCTGCCAAGCAGGTTCTGTACAGGACTGTACTGATGGGTGAGTTTACAATACAGATGAACACAGGGTCACAGTGATGTCAACAACAGCAAACCAACGACGAACTGTCACAGTGTCAGTCTTTTTCCCCCGCCAGGATTGATTTCATGCATGTATCAAGGCGTTACCAGAAGCATCCTTTTCAAGGATGCTGTTGGAGAAGCATGTTCAGACTTCAGTCATTAGGGGTCTGATGTGTGTAGGACACATCCCAGGACACTACAAGACGGCCTCACAAACCCTGAACAGCACAGCACAGGGCTCAGGATGCTATTAACTACTTGGGGTTCTTGGAAAATAAGCTGCAAAGAGACATATCCTGGGAAGACTGCACCACACATGTGTGAGAAGGTGTTTTACATCAGCAAGCCTGGTCTCTGGACTCCCTCATCTCCAGAGGACAGCCTGCTTCCTGGGATGTGCCTCCCTAACGGTCCGGTTGTGTAACAAATCAACATGTTTAGGGAAGAGCACACAGCCTAGGGGAAATTGAAAGGAACCCTTCACTGCCTTCAGTGTGATTTTACAGGGACGGGGATGGAAGATAAGGCTGCAAGCCTCAAGCTCCTCAGTGTTTTCACTGTCTCCTTGTATTTTACAGTCACCTGCTTTAACTCTCTGAGACTTGTCTCTGTGCTTGCCTTGTCATTTCCATATCCCTGGAAGCTGCTCAGGGACCTGCTCTAACCCACCACCCTCTGTGGATAGTTTTCTGGCATTTTCTTTGAAAGGCAGGCATTGTTTCTCATTCCCAATCTCTGTAGTGTTCCATAACCAAGTCATCTCCTCAGATTGATTCGTCCCTGCAAGGTCCCAGAATCCCTGCTCTCTCTCTTTTTCAAACCCTCTGGATTTGGATTTGCCAATGAACTGTGAAACACCCAAAGCTGAAGATTTGACCCTCCCAGGTGGAGAATAAGAGCAGGTGTGGGCGGATCATTCAGGAAAAGAAGTTTTTTTTTTGTTTTGTTTTTGTTTTTTCCTGGAAACAAATGTGATGTTAATAAAATCCATAAAGGGTCTCATACAATAGGCATGGTGTTAAACCAGAGTTTCAGCTTCACATTGATTGTGGTATTTAAATTTCAATGGGCTGATTATTTATGGGAGGAAAATGACCAGTATTATGAACACACTCTCAGAGACAGGGAAGGCGCTTGCCAGCACAGTGAGAGGCAGGGGGAGGGGAGGGGCACCGCGTTCCCTTGACAGTCAGCAGAGTTCAATAAAGCACCACTTATTTTCCCAGCTTTTAAGAGCTCTCTGTTTTGTTTTGGTTTTAAATCGCAATGGTTCATACCTCACACTCCCTGGAGCCTGATTTGCTATAGGTGCAGGGTCCCGTTCCGTTCAGCAGCATCTCGCTGGTCTCGGTGTTGGTGGGTTTATAATCTACATAAAATTCCTGGGTGCCGGGAGTCATTTGCTTGAGCGATTGCCTTTTCTTCTTCCGGTGCCTTCTCATGAGGGAGCGCTGCTGCAGCTGCTTCATGCTGGCTGGGTACCGCTTCCAGGACACGTACATGACCAAGAGGATGACCAGCACCGACAGGAAAAGGGCTACACTGCCCGCGATGATCTTATGGAAGGAGATGTGCTCCGTGTCCACATCTGTCTCTGGGCTGGGCTCTGTAGCTCCCACCGTGGGGGGCAGCGGAGGCTTGCTCTCGTGCTTCGGCCTGGGGAGCTTGGGCTTAAACGTGGGCTTGGGGAGCGCCCTGGCCAAGTCAAACCTCTCGGTGGTGCTTTTGCCACAGATGCTGTAGTTCTTCACCGCGTCGATCACGTTTACCCCCTGCAGCTCTTTGGGACTGGCGCAGATAATTGTGTTCTCTCTCAGCCCTTTAAAACTTTTCAGCCAGTTTACCAGGGAACAGATATTCCTGCTGCATTCCCATATATTCCCGGCAAGACTGATGTCATTGAGAGAGATCCAAGAATCCAGAATCTCTTGGCCAATAAATGTGAGCTTGTTGGAATCCAGGTTGAGGCGCTGCAGGTTAGGGACACACTGGAAGACACTGGGTCCACTGAAGGCTTCGATCTCGTTACCCGACAGGTCAAGCCTCTGTAAGGAACTCCAAGTCCAGGACATGGTTTGCCCGATTACACTGATTTTATTCCACTGCATGTACAAGTTCTGAAGGCTAACCAACCTTGGGAAAAGAGCTAGGTTGAGCTTGGAAAATTGGTTGTGCTCCAGGTGAAGTTCTTTTAGTCTGATCATGCCAGCAAAGACATTCCTGGCTAAACTTCGGATCCTGTTATACCCCAGGTCCAGAAGTTCCAGGTTGCGACAGTCTTGGAAGATCCGCACCGGGATGGTTCTCAGGGAGTTGGAGCGGAGGTGTAAACTAAGCAGCTTCCTCAAGCCCCGGAACTGTTCAGATCCCAGAGAATGGAGCTGATTATAGGACAGATCCAAGTTCCGTAAATTGGTCACAGGTCTGAAGGTGTTGTTAAGAAAATAAGAGATTCTGTTGGAACTCAAAATCAACTCTTTGAGTCTGCGTATCCCATTGAAAGCATTCTCGTCAATATTGCTGATATGGTTATGGTCAAGGTAGAGCCAGGTGAGCTGATTGAGCCCTTTAAACTGATTATACTTAAGTTTTTGGAGGCTGTTGTAGCGAAGGGATAAACCCAAGCAACCAGCGGATATGCTTGAGGGGATCTCCTGCAGTTTCTGAGATTCACAGTATACCATTTTGCCCTCGCACCTACAACCCTTAGGGCATCCTCTTTCAGCGGAAGAGAGCATTGTCAGTAAGACAGTGGGGGCTAGAACCACCGCTACAGCTGATCCGCGCAGTAGCCTAATTACATTGAAACCTGGAAATAAAAACAACTTAGAAAAGTTATCCCCCCAAAAAAGAATGCATTTTTAAGAATCAAGCAAAATTAGCCATCAGTGTCCACATTCAGAAATGTAAACATTTAGAAAACAATTAACACCGAATATTATCTTTGCAATATAAGGATACTGTATATTTCTAATAATTAAAAGAGGAATATGCCCACTGATTATCGAATTTATAGTCTTGTACCATAAAAAAGATAATCTTTAAAACAATTAAAGCAGAATTATTACATAGACTTAGGAGATTTTTTCCATTTTTTTTAAGAAGGAAAATGACAAAACATACCCATCCTTTGTATTGTTCAAAGGCCGTCCTTAGGTCTTTTGCTTTGGCTTAGGGGCCGCCTGCATGACAGCCCCTGTCAGCTGCAGTGTAGTGAGTCAGGGCTCGCTGACACCCAGGAAGAAAAATTGGACCCCTTGGGAGATGGACCGATTTTGGAACATTATTCTTTACCAGCCATGCAGAACACTCCAAGAACAAATAAATCCCAATACCGCATTCACAGCAAAACATCCGAGTCTTCCTAGGTAATAGGATCTTCGTGGATATTGCGTTTTTGCATCTTTACAGTGTGTGTGTGTGTGTGTGTGTGTGTGTGTGTGTGTGTGTGTGTGTGTGGTGTTAAAAATTGCTTCTACAATTTCTTCTTAAAACCCATGATGTATTCCTCTAGGCAACGTGGGGCTACCTGTACTGCCACATCTGTATTCCATAGCCCGGCGGTCCCGTGGCGGTGAGCACCCAGTTCAGCCACGGAGCTGCGTTGGAGCCCAGAAGGCAGGAGAGCCCGGTTCCGCGCACACGCTCAGCTCACTCCTGCAGACGTGTCATTCTGAAAGCGGCTCGGACTGTTGCTTCAGTTTCAGTGAATGCAGTCTTATGTAAAGCTGCCCCCAGTGGTGAGGAACACTATGGGCATGTGCAGAGCTGGCTCTCTTTTTATCTTGCAAATGAGCAGGCTCTGCTGGAAAATGAATGATTCTTTTTGGGTGTCTCAATAGGAAGTGAATGGTCAACGTAATCAATAACTAGCAACGTTTTCTGTGATTTCTAAGTCTTGTTTTACAATTTGGCAACGCCTGTACTGTCGGCGTCTGCTGCTGAATCGCCAAACATGTGCTTCCCAGAGTTTTTCTAGAGCTTGATGTTAAGTTCACGGATCGAATGTCAATTTTTCTTAACCTCAGTGTAGGCTTTGAGCTGAAATTTATAAAATGAATTATTGAGCTTTTCACAAAGCTGCATTAAGAGCATGCCTGTTTGACCTCTTGGAGTCACAGTGATTATATTATGCAAGGTGTCTCAGGACGCTGGACTACATCGACTTTACAATAGAGGGGATGACTAATGACACGCAAATTAATAGGTCTAATGGCTTTTCTGATTTTCCCACAAAAGATATAATTGGTTTAATGGCTTGTGACTGGGCTTGTTTTGGTGGCTGTGGGCTTTATTATTATTATTATTATTTTTTTAATCAGAAGGGAAATAAACCTTTTGTTGTGCTAGTATTGGAACCCAAAGATTATTTAGCTCATAGATCATTGATGTTGCTTCTATTTATTACACTAATAATATTTATTGAGTGCTAAGTTCTTTAAATGAATGTTACCTTGTTTTATCTTCCTTTTTTTTTTTTTACAATTCTCTTATTTTTTTTTACAGATTTTTATTTAATTTTAAGTGCATTGGTATTTTACCTGCATGTATGTCTATGTGAGAGTGCCAGATCCCTGGGAGCTGGGGTCACAGACAGTTGTGAGCTGCCATGTGGTTGCTGGGAATTGAACTTGGGTCCTCTGGAAGAGTAGCCAGTGTTCTTAACCTTGGAACCATCTCTCCAGCCTCCCCCCACTCTCCCCGCCTCCTCCCGTTTCTCTTTCAACAACAGCAGTGTTGCAGGTCCCACTGTAATCTACATTTCAAAGGTGAAGGGCCTGGGATTTAAAGGGGGTTACCAACTCAAGGCTCCAGAGCATAGGCAGGGGCAGTTTACATGCAGGACCCAGTCTACTTATGCTGCTTCCCAGCCACCAGTCCTTTCCCCTGGCATTGCTGTGCCCTGAGAATCTGGTGAAAATAGGACTGACCAAGAGGAAGGAGGTGAAGCTCTGCAGAGTGCACTCTTGCTCTCTAGAGGACCCTGAGAGTTCCCTTTGTCTTAGAGGAAGTACAGGGGAAGCCACAGCTAGCCTCCTGATAAAGAACACTAATCCTTGCTAAATTTGCCAGCTGTGTTACCTTGAGTGGCTCTCTCACCACCTCTGTGCCTCAGTTGTCTCCCCTGCAAAATGGACGAGACAGCAAAATTACTTCACAGGCATATTTTGAATAGTAAGCTATATTTTTCTCTTCGTCCATGGTACTGGAGATTGAGCTAGCACCCTGGGCTGCAGCCTCACCCCTATGTCATCTTAATTTCTAAAAGTCCTTAGCTCAGTATGTAGCACAAAAACCGAACAAATATTATCTGTTATGTGTATTGATGTTGCTTTTTAATATTGAATATTGACTGCATTAACTGAAACTCATGAACAACTACCTCAGTGAGTAGGTTTTTTTTTTATATTATAGTCAGTGGGAGAAGTTCTTGTATCTTCATCATCTCCATTTTCTATTTAAAATTCATGTTTCAGTGTTATGGACTATGTTTAATAACTAATGGTGGTTGTTTCTCTACCCCCAAAGCAAAACGTAACACTGGATCTACAGTTTGTCATTTTCCATAAATAAGTATTGTTCTTTAAAATATTTGCTTCATTTATATCAGGTAAATTGGCTGCATCTCAACTAGGGGCCACTTTGATATTATCCAAGGGTGAACAGTTTGATCAGTGCTAATCATGATAACCAAAGCATAGGCCTAGTGATTGCCTTGAACTTATTTATGTTGTGACTATATCTAAAACACTAAACAGCTTATCAAATAATTTTCCTTTTCTATTCTCCAAAATTCTGATTCAAGGGGATAGAAGAGGTTGTACTTTTTTATTGAGAATTTCATACATGCATACATTGCATTTTGATCAAATCTACATGCTAATTCCTCCCCTAACCCTTCCAACCCTTTTCAATTCAATCTCATATGCTCATGTTCTCTGTCTTCTGTCTCTCACCTTCTCTCTGTAAACCCACTGAGACCACTTAATGTTGCCCATATGTATTAGGGTATAAGATCATCTACTGAGGCATGGAAAAAGTAAGTTTTCTTAATGGGTGTGGCCACAGAGAGGATATATTTTTGATGGACAAGTATGCTTTAGAAACTCACTAAAAAGGAATGAACAGAAACAAGTGCTCTCTTGATAGGAGAATGGAGATGTCTGATACTGAATTGCAACCTCTAAGGGGTAACTTTTTGTCTCTCAGTTATTTTAACAACAGTGCTTGACACATTTTAGATCCATAATATATTTAGTCAGTAAACACAATAGCCATACTATAAGCTTTTATATAATATGTAGTCTTCTTATATTATAAAATTTGCTGAAATTTTTTATTATGTGTTTTTGGTAGTATTAATTATCCATATACAAGTATGATATTTTTATACTTGTATATGATGTGCTGAAGTGATATTTACCCTGTAACTGTCTCTTTGGAACCTAGTGCCTTGTTACCTTCTTTTGCCATCATTAGTCTTTGACAAAAATCTAACATCATGCATGTGGTTCTTAGGGACTCTGAAAAGTCAGTCCCATTCATAGGACTTTCAAGACAAAGCCATGCAATTGTACCCAGTCTACCTACCATTCATTCCTCAGGGTCTACCACCAGATGCCAAGGAGCATCAATACCAGAGTGCTAGCAGGTTGGGAGTATCTTGAGTCTCTAGAAGGTACAACAGTTACACATTCCTTGTTGAGTCTAGAGAGTCCCTCTATTAGTAAGGTTGTAAATAAGTACTCTTGAATGATGCGTAGAAAAGGTGGGAGAAAATCAGGTGATGAACAGGTCTTCCCTCTTCCTGGAGATGTCTTGTCTTTATAGTTAAACCTTAAGTTTCACGGGAATAGTAAATATGCGTTTAAATATTCAACTCAGCACAGTACAGAAGGATAACACCGAGTCTTTATTATCTAACATCCCAAATGGGACTTCACAACTTGCATGTCTCAAAAAAGCCTAACGGGAATCATATTTATAGCTTCTTTCTCATTTCTCTGCTTTGAAAGCCTCTGATTTTCCTGCTCATCCTTCCTCCTTCACACTGGGAAGTTGGTATGAAGACATCTTTCTTGGCTACCAGCTGCACAGGCCATTCACTTGTCCATGTGCCTCATGCCCTTGGGACAGAAACACAAAGAGGACCAGGGGAATATAATCATCATGTTGCTTTTTCATGAGACAAATACATTTGGATTATTTATGTAAATATCATTGTCTTATATTACATATCGTGTCTCTAATTTTCAATCTTTATTTTTTATATCTTAGCTTTTCATCTTGTCTTGCTCCATGGTTCTGATCTGTTTTGTTTTTTGTTTTTTGTTTGTTTGAGACAGGGTTTCTCTGTAGCTTTGGAGCCTGTCCTGGAACTCTCTCCATAGACCAGGTTGGCCTAGAACTCACAGAGATACACCTGCCTCTGCTTCTCCTGAGTTCTGAGATTAAAGGCCTGTGCCACCACCACCTGGCTCACGATGCTGATCTTATGTTCCTTCCCTGGCTCTTAAAATTGATATTTCCCCTTAATGCTGACCACCTGTCTATTTCTCATAGGTATTCTCCCAGTGGTCCCTTCTTTGGCAGTAGCTCTTAAGTTGGCATCCCTAATTCAAGGTGACAAAGTTCTTGAAGAGGGAAAATTATCAATGAAACTGGTTGAAAATTCCCAAAATGGAAAGAACAATTCAAAGCCATGTTAATCACTTAAGGATGTGGAAATTATTCTAAAGATGCCAAGTAGTCACTCAAAAGGTTTAAAAAAATTACTGTGCTATAGACAATTTTACTGACTTTCTGGTATGGTTTTCAGAGTTTATCCTCTTTTACTTGTTGACTGCAGCCAGATGATTGTTTCTGTCTTGCCTTTCTTTTTTTTTTTTTTCTTTTTCTTTTTTGATACAGAGTTTCTCTGTATTATTTTGGAGCCTGTACTGAAACTTGCTCTGTAGACCAGGCTGGTCTTGAACTCACAGAGCCTACCTGCCTCTGCTTCCTGAGTGCTGGGATTAAAAGTGTGTGCCACCAACACCCAGCCTGTATTGTCTTTCAATACAGGCAAAATTCTGCCCCATTATGTGCTTAGCAGCTTCCTTTGCAATTGCCACCACATAGAGTACTAACCATAAACTACCCGACAACTTAAATTTCCCCAATGCATCTCAGGCCTTATGATTTATACAATTATAAAACACACTGTCATCTGTATAAACACTATTTTATTGCATTTACATTAAGTTTGAATAGCTAAACATATTTTGTTTAAAGTGAGCAAATAAATCAAGTGGCTATATATAATGCCAAATTTCAGACCAATATGAAACTAGATTGCCAAATATAAAGGTGTAAAAAATAGGGTATCTTCAGGGTACCTGGCTTCAGAGATTTCATTGATTTAGCAATGAAATATTTTGGATATCATTACATGTTAGACACTGTTCTAAATATGTGGACATCAGTATGCAAAATAAAGGCCTATGCTGTATGAAATTTACATTTTCAATAAATAAAACCAGACAATTTTAATGTAAACATAGGTAGGGTATTAGTAAGTCATACTATGCTTTGAATCTGAAATGTCCCCGTAGCGCTTGTGTTTTTGGCCTAGTTTCCTGATTAGTGTTTCTGTAGAGCCTTTAGGAACTGAGACTTGCTCCACCAAAGGAAGTTACTAGATTTAGGCCTTTGCAGGCTATGGCC